CACTGAGTCAAATCTACTTTTGTGCGATTAGGTAACCCGTCAATTTACTAGTCTATTTTCGTATGCTGCAAAATTTAATTCGTCGCTAAAGTAAAATATCAGCTTATTTCATTACTTTATAATTCTTAACAGCTAGCATATTAGTAATAAGGTCACATGTATAGTATACAGGTGTTATTAAAATTAAATTTAGTGTTTTTTTAGCAAGAGTTTTGGATGAGGCACAATTTTCTTTGCTATATTTAGTTACTATGTTAAATCTATGCTTTATAGAAATCGTGGATCAGGACCCTCCGGAACGGCCAGCATGGCAGTAGCCACGTGGCTTGACACGACGTCGATAATTTAAAAATGTATTGACCCTTCTTGGCGTAATTTTGAGCTCCATGCAAGCAGACCACTAAATGAGCAATACGAAATCTTTTACACTTATGGAGAGTTCTTGTGAACGGTCGCGTGTACCTGCAGTTCCAAAAATATATCGAACAACAGTAGAATTTCATTTTAATCCAACGCCAAGACAAACGGTTGAGGAAAGCCTCTACTCTCCTCCAAATCCTGGAAACGGGCAGCTAACCAATGGCCGTTATATCTCAACCCTCTTGATGGTCCCGCTATCCAAAGATGTTTGTCCCGATCAGACACCCATCACGTGGAGTCAACTGCCTGAAGTCACAAGGTATGACTCACCCCATAGCAAATTTACTTTACCCCCTTTTCCATCGTCGTATTCTCGGCAGTGGTCTCAGTGGCTGATAGAAAACCGTCTATTAAATGCCGACGATTTGCCTCTGCCCCCTCCACCCTCCCCACTGATTTCTGACAACGAAATCTTTAATGAGATATTAATTGAGCCACCTCCTATGATTTACCAAGGTGGATCTGTTCAAGCTGCAAATTACAACAACGATTGCGGACATTTATCGAACCTACCACCTTATGTACAAGCAGCACGCATGCATCCATCAGCTGTACAGGATGTGGGAAAACGATACATCACTAAGGTTCAGGTGCTGGTGAGTACAACATCCCGTAATAAAAGTGAAAATCTCATCGAATCTGAGCCACGATCGCCTTTAGATCACGTGGACTCGACAATGGGGGATTTAAAAAGTTGTCATTGGTTCAGTGGTGACCAGGAACAGGATCAGGAGAACGCGACTATACCATTGTCAAATACGATCTCTCCAACTCATCGAAACCAAATGCGACTATCTAGAAAGCGGGGCAATAAACCACACAGGAGTTTTCTTCCACTGCCTCGTCACTTACCATGGAATCAAAGAATCGTTCGCCTTTCGTCTGGTTCATCGCAAAACGAAGCTAGAATGATCAGCGCCGACGAAAAGGTATCAGCCCGATTGTCGTTGAAATGTATGAAATCACAAGCTATTCAAACTGGCGATATGACCGAGGGCAGTAGTATCGATCGTCTTTTACGTGACAATGCACTGGTGAATTATGGAAGGCTTTTAAGTTCAAAGGGAGGCTTTGGCTACAATAACGTTGAAAGAAAGCAGGTCAGTGAAGAGACAACCACTGTTGAAAGCACTGGCCCAGAAAAAGTACTTCAACCCTACAGGAATTTCCGCCTTACTCCTCCCAACTACAACAGGCGATGGCTCACACCACAGATGAAGGCGCAAGTACAGACTGATAAGGTGGACTTGGTGGAAAGGGCAATTTCTCCTATAGATTTTGCAAAACCGGTTGAGCAGTTTGGGGAGAAGGATGAAGATAACCATTTCTCAGAAAGAGTTATGGCCAATATGAATGCGAATGTAATGGTGGCTGAGAGGTTATTATGGAAGGATGAAGATCAGATTACCTCTGATAAGGTTGCGGGGAATGCGCATGATGATATTCTAGTAGCAGCAGCTACACCTCCATCACCGATTCTAACATGCACTGTATTACAAAGTGAAAAAATAAAACACTTTTATGAGAAAAAATGTGTTGAAGCACCAAGACCCACACCAAGAGAACCCCAACAACCTCCTTTGTGTCAACAGAAGTCAGTGGTATACGCCACCATATTGACGAGTGACTCGTTAGAGATGAATATGGACCCATATCGTGGCAAAAGTGTAGTAATGGTTGATGGTGTGACGCCGCTTCCTCACAACTATATCCCATCCCCCATTGGGCACCTTCCCACTTGCACAGTTTGCCGTAATGCTGCAGGTGACGCAGCGCCTAAGAGTGGAAACCGGTCCAATAAAAGACTGCCTGCCAAAAATCCACAGTCAGGTACTGCTTCAACAACGGCTGCAACAGTACAAGCAAGCGACTGTGCTATCCATCAGCAAAATCCCAGTCATCGAGAACTGGTGTCTTCTGTGTCGTCGGGTCACAGACCTCCGTGTAATCGCACATCCGGAATTTCTTCATTCTCTTCTCCTCCTAGCTATTCTACCTATACGTGTTCCACGTCATGTACAGGTCGCACTTCGGAATCGCTAACAGTAGAGGAGACAAGAATTTTTCAAGGTGGGGTCATTCCGTCACGCCTCTCATCAGAAACTGATATTGTAGCGAACATTCAGGGTCTTACCGAGTCATGTCTGCCGCAAGTAAATGTAGTGCGAGCCACACCCGAAAGACGATCGTCCACACCTGCTATTCACAGCACCTCTATCCGCAGGCCCTCATCAGTAGAAGCGAGGGCTACTCAAACTCCAATTGGTTCTGGCTGTGGATCAATTGATTTGGATGTTTTTGGCTACGTTCCTGACGAACAACAACGGCAAGTGGTTCAGGAGTGGTTAGTGAATCGTGTCTCAGCCAACGTTGCGGTACACTTTGGAAGTAAACTATCTCAAATGCTTCATGACTCGGCATCAGTACATTCAGGTGTCAACGAGGAACTATATGAGGAAGTGGAAACTTCATGTGACTTACAAAATGATGGTGCAGTTTTACCAAGGTCACCATTGAAAACCTATGTTGAGAAGAGCAAGAAATCTACATTCGGGGTAGATAGTCAACACAGACTTCGTCCTCATGGAAATGACTGCAGAATGCTGTGCAGCTCTTCTTCACCAGTCGAACAGAGGTCCGAAAGAAAGAGACGTGTGCCGTCGATGAAGAGGGCTGGGAATGATCATCAGCGCTCAGTGAGTCCAAGAGGATCTCGCAGTAGTCGCAGAGGTACTCGAATACTAGCGCGAGAGGAAGAAATAAAGCATCTGGAACTTCCCATTCCCACTACTCAGCACTCACAACCTTCGGTCCCACCAGCATCGCCACCACCAGTGCGATCCATGCCACGCATACGCATTCGCTCAAAGCCGGGTGTGTCAACTTTAAAGAGAGGGGAAGTCGACAAAGGGGAATCGAAAATACCAACCCATCTGGGTATAAGTAACGAAGAAGAGCGCATTTATGAGAGGTTCCACCCGTATGAACAAATAATTGAAATAGCTCCTCATGATGAGCTGGTACACAGTCACCAAAATGTTCACGATAGACGGATAAAAGCAGTGGGCATGAAGACTGGATGCTATCTTAATTTAAAGGGTCCGATAAAGCGGCCACCTATAGATGGAGATATGCGACGAGAGCGAGAGGTATATGAACTGATAATTGGAGCCCAGAGCAAAGAAAAAGCCGATAGGTGTATAAATTACTTGCGAGACACTTTTCCAAGAGCCGTACTAACGAAAAAATGATCCGGTCTAATATTTTCAATAAGGGTAAATAACGCACATCCTCCTTTGATACGCTTTATAGATCTATTGTGGTTACAGACAAAATAAACTCCTGGTGTACATTTATTTCTTCGAATTCAGTTACAAATAGACCATGTTGCTTTTGATTGCTCGATGTCACAAAAAGACTTCTTTAGATCTATGAAATTACCTACTAAACGAATGGATATCTGCTCAAAGATTCTCGGTGTACTTGAGCCGACACTTAAATGCGAAGATTTTTCGTCTTATCATTCCAGTGAGCACTATGCACTCAGAAAAGCTAAAAGTATTTGAAGGACATTTTATAATTGCATTGAATGACCAGTTTCGTAGCATAACAGAATCCGTCCTAGACACTGCTAGCATTCTGTACATTGACAATAAACCATTCTTCTGCCTTGATGTGCCTTTTAACATTTATAGGGATGGTTCAGGACGTTATATTGAGAGTAGGTGTAAACGAATAAGATCCAAGTAAACTACACAAACAATGATTCACAGAAAACTAAATGTGAATAATACAAGGATCAAAAATGCGGGAAATAAATCCACTTAACAGGGATTCTGAAAAGCATAATAGAAAGCGGCGTTAATGCTGCAAGGAGAGGACATTCAAGAAGAGGGTTCAAAAAACGTAGGATAAAAGAATATAAAAAGCAAAAATTAGTTAAAATGAAGAAAAAGGTACGATAGAAAAACAACGCAAAAATAATAAAATATATAACGGCATCATGTGATAGATAAAGAAAAGTTTAGACAAGAAAAAGAAAAAAAATGTGTGTGCGAGATAAGGAGGAGAAGAGGAGGAGGAGGACGAGGAGGAGGAGGAGGAAGAAGAAGAAGAAGA